GCACCATGCCTAGCAAGCTATTAACGCTTGCTAGCTGGCTATTGCAAAGAGGAAACATTGCTGGCGCACTAGGCGTGCTATCAAGCTAGCAGCGCTAGCAAGGTCAACAACTAGCAAGCTCGTTGGCCCTCGCTAGATGCTACTAGCTTGCGCCCAGCAGTCCGTATTGGTGTAGGCAGGCAGCAGCAACAACGGCCCACAAGAAGCGCGACAAGCCTTGTTGCTCAAGGCAAGGGCTACCAGCTGGCCCGTGTTCATTGAAGCTGGTTTTAGCCTTGGGGAGTAAGGAAGGCCTTGTGGTCCTCACCTTACCCTACCATGTTTGTGCCACTTGTTTATTGATTATTTGACTTTGTATGTTATTTATTTTGGAATTAAATTAAATAAAATAATTTCTCAAAGTCCCACATTGATGGGAAATGAAAGGGATTGAGATGTCACTCCTATAAATACACAATTCATACCTTGGGAATTGTTGCAAGAGTTGAACTCTATAAAAGGCATCTCCATTGAGAAAACCTTATAAAGAGATCCTCTAGTTAGTAGTGTTAATATTACCCTAGCCGGCAATATTAGCCAAATTTGGGTGCGCCGGTGGACTTCATTGGAGGGGTCGTGTTCAAGGGTGAGGGACGGGGGGGGGGGGGGGCTGGTGGAGTCCCGGCCTCCCCGGCCCAGATTTGTGGCCCTTGATTATTAACTCTTGCCCCCCCTGAAAGTTATTATTATTTATAGTGATCAAGACACATTTAATACAACAAATGAAGCTTGTCATATTGGTTAGGTAGTGATTCTTTTTCTCTAAGGAGCATGGGTTCGAATCCCACCCCTTACTTGTTTTTTTTTTTGGATAAGGTTTCTTACGCATATTCTTAGGTGCACATCATGCACCTACAAATTTGGTGTAACAACAGCACAATATGAACATTAGCTTTTTAGAAAGTGAACATAGGCATAAAAAATATGAACATTAGCTTTTCAGTAAGTGAACATAGGCATAAAAATGTGTGATTTTCGATTTCTTATGTGGTGACTTTGTGATTAACTTCGATTGATTAGGTTATACTACCTCCTTTAACATTTAGTTGCAACTTTGGGGTATTATTTGAGAGACATAAAATATTCCTTAGTTGCAACTAAATGTTAATGGAGGTAGTATATGATTTTCTTAATTCTAATGAATTGAATTTAATCTGATTTTCTGCATTTTTTTTTATCAATGAATATAATCATGCAAAATATGAACATGTGAACGTTAGCTTTTCAGAAAGTGAATATAGGCATAAAAAATATGAACTTATGCATTTCAGAAAAGTGAACATAACATTTCAAAATATGAACGTAAGCATTGGTTTTCTTAAAGTGAATATAAGCATTTAAAAGGTGAACATATACGTAAAAAAATATGAACATAAACATTAAAGAAAGACAACATATGCATAAACAGATTTAATTAATATATCATGAACAACACATATTTACATTATGAATATTTGAAATTATATATGAACATATAAAACATTATTATGAATATAATGCATTTAATTATGAACATAAAAATTTAAAGAAATTAAAAATAATATGATTATGAAACATATGCATTATAAGTATTAAATGTTCATTTTTTTTATGTGTTCATTTTTTTCATGTTCATATTTTTTTACTAAATGTTCATTTTGTAGAGCGTAGTAGTGATTTTGACGGATCGCGAATATGTTGTCAGGGTTATTAATTTGGGTCGCATTTTGTGGGACTTCCCTTGTTGCACCTATCTTAGGTGCTCATGCACCTAAGACCAATTGGAGTTTCTTATTCAATTTGGGCTTTGATTTTGATGATAAAGCCCAAAGACTTAAGCTAAGCATACAAATAACCTTAATGACGACAATGCATCATATTTTGAGAATTGTGATTCTAATCTTGTTTTTATCATTGTTAAAACTTTAGAAGCAAAACAAATAAAATAGGTATTTTTAAAAATTCTTTGACTGATGATTTTGCTACTATGAAAAATCGTAGAGTATTCAACCTTTTTTTTTTTTTTTGGTAACAATAAAATACTAGTACATTTTAATTTTTTTTCCATCAATCTGTTGTTTAACAAGTCCGGCCCCCAAGACTTGAAAATCCTGGCTTCACCCTTGGTCGTGTTTGAGACTCTTTCTCCGTTCGTGAGTCTATGTTAGTGGATAATACGCTTTGAGGGTATGATTGTCTTTTCCTATTTCTCTATCTTTTTTGTTTAATTATGTTGTTAATTAATATGCATATTTAGTTGCTTTAACTTGTGTGCAGGTCATTGGATGAGTTTTAGTTCCCTCATGATCTGGGACATCACGAAATCCAACATAAATCCCAAAGTTGGGAATTTATTAATAATCCAAATTTGGAATTATTTTAAGCGAATACGTAAAAATTTGAAAATTTTATTATAGTCATTTGAAATATGCCCTACCATAATATTTTAATGATTATATAGTTCATAATTGACATTTTTTTCCAAGTAATTAATTATATTACTTTATTAATGGTATTCAATTGTATTATCAACATTTTTTTGATTTATCAAATTTTTATTTCTATTTGTAATTTTTATTCTTATTTTATAGTTTTTCAAAAAAAAAAATTATTTTATATTGGATTAAAAGTTTTAAAATTATGTATATACATTGTAGATTTTATAAGACTAATTCTATCCATTTTAAAACGTGAAAATAAACTAGATATATCATTAAAATAATGTGGTAATTATTTTTCAAATGACCGCTATAAAATCATCCGTAAAGGTTGGGATTATTTTTAACAATTTTTCTTTTAATTTTTACACCCTCCATCTGTTAATAGAAAGCGTTTTTTTTTTTTGAATAGCAAAAATATTTCATTAATTAAAAGTCACACGACATGTACAATAGAGATTCGACATTAACAAATATATAAGATATTGAATCAAATAAATTTTTCCTTCATAAAAACTACGATCGTCGAGTAGATCTTGCATTGCGGAGCATCTCCCGCTTATATCGCTGAAAATTACAGCCTTGTTTGAGAGACAATCTAACGAACCTTTGTAGCCATGAGGATGTTTTTTCCTTCTGATTTATCTGTTCGTATTCGAAAACTTGATAACTTTTTCACCAACGAAATAATTTCACGACAATCCAAAACATCTGCTACCATGGATTCAAAACTAAGAAATTTCTCCCTCAAAAAGAGGAGATAAACCTTGTCTTTCGAAAGAGGTAAAAAAAACCCTTATCCTTCGAAAGAGATCGGAAACCCTTTCTTTCGAGGGAGAAAAATTCCTCCCAAAAGAAGGAAGCATTATTATAAGGAAAAATTAGAAAATAACACCTCAAAAAAACCACGATTTTGATAATAACACCACATAAAAAAAAGTTTTGATTATAACACCTCCAAAAATCTCAAAAATTTGATTTCACCACCGCATAGAGGATGTCGTCAAAAAAACCGTTTGTGGACCCCACCAAATACACGTGTCACTTATATATTGGTTAAAAAAATTAAAAAAAAAAAAAACTAAACCCTAAGCCCAGCCACGAAGCTCACCACCGGTAGCCCCTACATCCCACCACCGGCACTACCCTCCACTGCCGCCAAGCCACACCAGTGTCCATCCATCCACCCCCACCCTCCTTAACCAACCCCAAAAACCCCTATAGACCACCAGACGCAGCGATTAAGACCCTAGCTCGCAACTCCATAAACCCTAGCCACCACAAAAATGGCGACTAGTGGTTGAAATCTGCCAAGTTAGGGCTTGAGTGGTCAAATTCGACCCTAAATTGGCCGATCTCGACCACTAGTTGCTAATTTTGTTGTTAAATGGAAGAAAAATGGTGGTGGTTGTCGGTTTTGAGTGGGAAAAGGAGGTGGTTGCGGGGGTTATTTGGTGCGAATTTCGTGGTTTTCGGTTGCTGGAGGGGTGTCGAAAGTGGTTCAAGGGGTGTCGCAGGGGGTTTTCGGTGGCTGGAGGGGTGTCGAAGTGGTGTAAGGGATGGGAATTTGTTGTGTATGGTGGCGGAGGTGGTGGTTGCGGGGGGTTTTTCGATGCGAATAACGTGGTTGATGGTGGGGCAAGGCCGAGCTGGGGCAGGGGTTCGTGGTTTCGCCGGTTTTAATGGGGCAGGGGTACCGACAACTTGGGTTAGCCTGTCGGCGGTGGTGGACAGGTGGTGCCAGTGGTGGGGTTGGGCTGGGTTTGGTTGTTGAGGGTTTTTTCTTTTTTTTTTATATTAATTTTTTTATTAAACCAATAGGATAGTGACACGTGTCAGTTATGGGCTCACTAACGGATTCCATCCAAAAATCCGTTAAGTGGTGGTGAAATCAATTTTTTGGTTTTTTTTTGTGGTGTTATAATAAAAGTTTTTTTTTATGGTGTTATTATCAAAATTTGTGGTTTTTTGTGGTGTTATTTTCTAAAATTTCCTTATTATAAACCTAGAAAAACAATAAAGAAACAAGGATTGGGGCTTTCCACCGATTAAAATCGATGGAAGCCCCTTCAAAATTCAACAATGGAGGCTAGGGTTTTGGAGAGAGAAAGGAGGAAAAAGGTTGAGAGGCTAGAAAGCGTTTTTCTAACCTTTATTACTCACACATAATAAAGAGAAAGAAACTTTTAATTTAAGGATGAAAAGATTATTTTAAAATAGATAAAATAATGGCGCTTTTAATTTTACTCCCTCCGTGTTTTTTAAGTGATACATATTGACCGACACATAGTTTTACGTAATTTAATTGACTTAAATAAAATAAGAGGTAAGTGAGATAGTGCAGTATTAAAAAATTGTTAAAGAAAGATAGTGGGGTTAATAGTTTATTGAAAAGTAATGAATGTGAAAGGAAAGATATAATAAAAAAGTAGTAGTGAGTTTGGGTGGTGGCCATAACAGGAGAGGATATAATATTTTAATGTATTATTTTGCTAAAAAAGAGAATGTATCACTTAAAAAAACATGACCAAAAATGGAAAATCTATCACTTAAAAAAAAACGGAGAGAGATGACGGAATCATAATTAATTTTACCGCACTCAAAATCCAAAATCACTAGTGCAGAATTCGCAGGAGCAGTGAGCAAGCAATTCATCAATGGCGCTTCAATCAGCATTCAAAGAAAGGCTTGGATATATGGAGTCCACTCGTAATCAAAGACTTTCTCTCCTCCAGGTTTTTCCTCTTCATTCTTCTCCATTATCATCATCTCTACTCCATACTCTAAAATTGAAAAGTAAACTACCAATTTGTAGGATGAGAAAGACTTACAAAAGAGGAAATCCCTATTATTATCAGCTAAACACGCCAAAATCAGATTACTGGAACAAAGATGTTTGATCTTAGATCAAAAATTTGCATCAGATAACTTCAAAATCTCGTCACTCAAATCCGAAATTGAGTTTTTGGATCGTCAATTTCTATCCTGTGCTCAACAATTGAGGTTCGATTTACTGGAAATTGAATTGAATTCAATGTGATTAAGTTGCGATTTTATTTGAATTTAAATCGTTAGTTTGCGTTGATTTGTTTTGTAATGTGTTGCTGGTTAGGGATTTGAAGGTTGAGGTAGAGGGGCTTGAGCAATTGGAGGAAGAGAGAGATAAATTTTACGCTCTCAAATGTTCTGAAATGAATGATTTTAAGAAGGAAATTCAGAAGTATGCTGAAGAAATTGGTAGCAGAATTAAGGAATTGAAATGTGGTAATGAGAAGGTGAGTTATGTGATGAACTTGAAATTTAGTACTCGAACTATAATACTCTCTCCGTTCCTAAATATAAGCCGAGTTGCAGTGGAATATTGTTGATTTATTTGGTTTTAGGCGGATTGTTGATTAAGAGTGAATAAAAAAAGTTGGTGGATGATGGAACCACAAAAATGAGATATTGTGTTTCTAATTAGGGACAAAATTTTTGGGAGGAATGCGATATTGAGTTCAAACTCAGTTGAAATCATGAAAATTAATGCTACATAATAATGGTAATTAGGTGCAGGGATAAGGTGAGTTTGGATGATTAACATTAACATTGTATCTAGTTCTGTTTGTACTGTTAATCATGAAAATGATTACTTGGAACTTAGAAAATGGAATTGTTGAGTATGAAAACTGGTATGATTTTAGCATTCATTGGCCTTATTTTTCAGATTTGTTTATGGAAACAAGAAGTGTTGAGTAGTTGGGGGACACCGCGGTTGATACTGACTGAATAGGAATCCTGAGCACCAAAGTTAGTGTGAGTTTTGATTTTGTTCAAGTGGAGAATATTAACTCTGTGGCTTGCATAAGGAAGTTCTTTAATAAAGGTGATTAAGTTAATGAACTCCCCCACTAATGTACATTCTGTTTATTATACATTTGAAGTGTTGGTGTTTGGACAGATATGAAGATAAAATAGTCTTCCGTTATACGTAGAGGGGATGTTGATAAGCACATTGATAATTTGATATATGATGTTATTGAGGTTATTGTAGAATGATGAATTTGACTTAGGTTAGCTGTATTCTTGTATACTTGGTTTTAACTTAGCTGCGAGTGGAAAGTGAACTTTGTTTTTTGATGTGTTTTGCTGATCAAATAGAGTTGTAGATGGAATTGAGGTTATTGTGTTGTGTATGGTGCGGGCTTTGGTGTATTTAATTGGTGACAATGGTGAGCAATCATAGAAGGAAAAGAATGAGGGGTGTTTAAAGGAAGATATAGGGAAGAGGAAAGGAATGAAGTAGGGAACCTGTGCTTTCTTCCTAGATCTGTTGAGCATTGGAATAATTGATTTGAGAAATGGATAACACATTTTTTTGCCAAATTTTTACACAATATTGCAACCTTCGAGTATTTTAAGCCAAATTTTTACACCAATATTGCAACCTTTGAGTATTTTTAGCCAAATTTTTACACGATATTGTTTAGGTCATGGATATGCATTTTTATTTTGAGCATTTTGGTATTAGGTTATTGACAGTTGAAATGAGATTTCACATTTTCAATGCTTAAAGTTAATCTTCTTGGGACTTTATAGTAGATCACAAATGCATTTTTTTTCCAACATTCACTCAGCATTGATTTATGAGTTGGCAAACCCGTTTAAAGCTGATGTAATTGAAATTTTTGTGCTCACTGTCAAATCACAGATTACTGAAAATGTACATGGAGTATTGGTCATTATGTTTAATGTTTAGCATAATGATTTGCTTATTATCTGTCAGCTAATTTCATGTTATATGTGACTTCAGAATAGCAACCGTGAGGCACAAACTCGTGACATTCAAGCTGCTAAGGTGAGAAAGTCAGAACTTATAGCTTTGAAGGAAAAATTGACCAGTGACCTGGACTCTAATAGACGTTTGATAGCAACATTGCAAGAGCAGCTTCAGAGTCTGTGGTGATTTGAAAGTAGTAGGCTAGTGTACGTGGTAGAAAGAAAAGAGGTAACTGCTACCATCAGAGATTACGCCAGGCTAGTGTACATGGTAGAAAGAAAAGAGGTAACTGCTACCATCAGAGATTACGCCGTAGCATCCAACAGGGATGCTCCGGATCGAGTGGTACAAAAATTCATGCATTGATCAACATTTTATAAAATCGGCACATAGTTTAATTTTGACATGTGCTGTTTGATATCATTGCTTAGAGAGAAGGAAAGAAACGAATATCTTAGTGACAGTCAGTGCCTCAGCAGGAATCATTTATTAAGAAGTCATTTGTGGAAAAGAAGCATCCTCAAGCTCTTAGAGGAGATTCAGAGTCGGTTCTATAGAAATGAATATGCTGAAACTTTCCTGGTTTGTGCTGCTTAGATTTTCTTAATATGAAAAATGAATTCAGAATTTGTTTTAAGCAAGAAACTGCAATAAGATTCAAACAAAATAGATAGGTTACATTGTTAAACTGAAAGATAAGAAATTAACAACACTTACATCAGTGATATACCACCTTTTTTTTTTTTTTTTTTTTTTATTTATTTTTATTACTATATTCATCCCCATTAATAACAACTTCAGTGATACCATGATATGAAATTACTCTGGTGCGACTCTTGAGCCATTTGAAGAATCTCCCTGACCCCCTGATGTTGGAGGCTTTCCGGTGAATATAGTCTTCAATGCCTTACCCAGCACCGCATTTGGCTTAAGCTTTGTCGACTCTGGAATATCATCCTTCTTTATTGGCCTATTTCCTCCATTTTCCATCTTATGCTTAGTTTGATGCAAGCAAACACTAAGAATTAGTTCCTAAAATTCAAGATTAATATGATTCAATTTGTGTGATTTGCAACTTCTGTTTGAAGCTACAAGGGATTATATATATGCTGCTCTACATGCATTTCTCTTTGACATCTCTTTGGCATTTATTTGGCAATTCCAAGCATTGTTAACTATGTTTCAACAACGGGGATGTTGCATTTCTACAAACTTTCTCTCATTTTTATCTAAATTTAATGGAGAGCTATTTTTTTATATATATGTTTTCACAAACTTTAAAAAAAAATCGGGTGTACAATAATTATTGTACATCCACTATAAAGATAGACTAGATTGATCAAAAATTACCCCTAAAATAAATAAAAGTTACCCTTATATGCATAAAAGTAATCCAATACAAATAAAAATTATTAGTTAGAATCACATTTTAAATGACTAAAAATCAATTATTTGTGATTAAATGTAATTAAATTACTATTATAAAACTTTTCTTATTGTCTATTTATATAAAAATTGTATTATGTTAAATGTTACCCAAAAAAAGGCAAAAAGTTACCCTAAAATTAGATAAAAGTTACCCTTATACTGCTCGATGTACAGTAAAATTAGTATAAACCTGGTGTATACAAAAGTTTTTGATATATTTTTTTTTTTGTTTCTTTTTAGGCTTTTCAGCCCACACAGTTTGACTTTGGGCACTAATTACATCAGTTACTTTTATTTCAATTTGCGATTATTTTTAAGGAAAAACATATTCATGTTAGATCTTGTTAGATTCTCTGCATCTATTTTCCAAACATTAATTTTCATAATATTTGCTTATTAACACTTGAAGATATTAATACGAAGTATAAGAGATTATGCGTCAACAAATATGTCTAAATGAAATTTGTCAATTAATAGTCTAATGTGAACCAGAGGAATTACATAGTATTGATTCTAGAATTTACATGTGTATTTCCATGGTATTGCTACCATTGTTACTCGTGTGTTTAGTTTAGGTAAATCCTTCCTTCGCAAGCAATTAGCTAGCTAAGTGAGATTACGGGTGCATTTCCTTTGATGTTCTAAAAAATTTCACAACTAATTCAACGGTTGATAATGGGTCTACTGTTGAACCTTGGGCCCTTTATGTATTGTTTTTAAATTGTGACATTGTGACTCATCCCTCCAAATTTTTTTTAACCCAAATTCAAACCTAAAAAAAAAAAAAAAAAAAAAAAAAAAAAAGGGTTTTTCTAAGCTATGCCCCTAAACTTCTTCGGTTTCTAAGCTGTGCCCACGGTTTTTAAAATGTCTAAGCTATGCCCTCCACTTTACTATTTTTAATTAACAATAACCAATTACGTTTAAACTCCGTTAGTAGTCGTGGAACTGTTAAGTCCTCTGTTTGGAGGGAATATTTGCCGCCATAATTGTTAGGGTTTTACTTGTATTATAAAAGGGGGCTTGTATAACACAGTTCCCCTGTTTCTTCTTGTCTACAAAAAATTTAGCCCAAAAAATTTAGCTATTACGATGACAAGCTCCCGTTCTTCTCCAGCAATTTCTAGTTGTCAATGGGATTTTGTTAGTCGCAAGTGCAATTGCAAGCCTCCTTTAGATTGCAAGTTACATGTTTCCACTTCAACAAGGAACCCTAGAAAGGCATATTGGAGGTGTGATTTTTGCAGATTTTTCGAATGGGTAGGCCCTCATAACATGTTGTGGAGAGGAGAGTACCAACAAGCGTATTACGATGGTTTTGATGGTGGTGAAAGCGTTGACAATGGTGCGCTGATGGAGGTGAAGCGTGAATTGGGGAATTTAAGGCAGAAAGTTGATAATGTTACTGCTTCTTTTAAGGACATGTTTAAAATTGGGGTAGTTATGTTTTTGTTGTTAATTATCATATTGAAACTGTAAGTGGTGTTTAAGTAGTGTATGGTTTGAGAATCATAATAAGCTTGGTTTGTGTATGATCTAATGAGGTGATGTACTGCCCTTTTTTTTAATTAATAATAGTTTATCATATTACTGTTTATTTTGAGTTTTGTATTGAATTTGATAATATAACATTTCAAATTAAAATTAGTGACAATTTGCAATTTATATTCCATAATGTCAACCAAAAGCACATAATCACAATCTGTTAAAAAATTACATCATCACTTAGTAGAAATAACACAAAAGTTGGCTTAAAAAGTATTAGTTTGCCACAAAACTAGGCCACTTGCATGCCTGACATAACACTAATAGCATAACATTCTAGAGTTTATCTTGGCTTGCTTAAGGAATTTGACTTAAGGCTGACTCATCGATTGCTGCCACTCTGCACTTTGGTTTGATGTTTGAACTAGGGGCGGTGAAGATGCAATCATGGTATCAATGAAGCTATGATCAAATGCATTACTGTTGCTGGATTGATCTTGGTGTAACTTTCCTTTCCCTTTTGATGTACCACTGTAACGAGTACGGTTGTTTGTTCTATCAGCACCTTCACTAGTGTAATTTCCATTGATCATCAATTCAATCAAGGAGAAGTCAACATTATTATTTTCAGGTGGTCTCTATGCTTTCTTTCCTTTATTGCCACTCTTTTGTGGCATAGTCTTCCCTTGTTGCTCGGCTACTTCTCATGCAGTTGGGCCACCTTTGCATGTTGCCATATTATGCCCATAATTCTTGCAGTTACTACATTGAACGGTTGCGCTTCTTTTTCCTTATCTCTGCTCCCCTTCCTCTCTCCTCCTATTTCTTGATGGTCTGCCAATACTTCGTTTCATTGTTGGTGGTATGAGGGTTGGAACACCATCAATGTGTTGCTCCTCTTGAACTTCATTGGCTTTAGTATTTGGTTGAGGTGGATTCCATAAACCCTTGAATTTAAGGGTAGATTTTGATATTTTTTTACCATGAGGGAATGAAGAAGGCTTAAGAATATTGTTTGGTTTAGTACGGGTAGTACGACTAACACTAGGACCTGTTTGGGTTACACCTGAAGTAGAAGGGTTGATTAAGGATTGTTGTGTGGTTGGGGGGTTAGAAGCCATAAGCCTGGGGCTTCTTCTTGGGCTTGGCAAAGTAAGGGTTTGACTATGTTCAGGAGATTGAATTTTAGATGGTGCATGAGATGAAGGGGTTGGAGATAGATTACCAGAATTTTGTTCTTCAGGCTTACCCCTCCTAACTGGCAGTTTAGTTAGTAGTGGTTTAGGTGGTCCTGCTGAAGCACTTACATTTGATCCATTCAACCTAACCTTTTCAGAGGTCCAAATAAAATTAGGTTGCTTCAAACAACCAATCCATACGTCTATGCTTTTGGACTCAACTACCTCAAACATGGTCATTAGTGTTTTATCATCAGTAAGTGCATGACTCTTCCCATTAGAACAATAACTTAACCCAGGAAAAGTAGGGAGTTCATACCCAAAAGAATTAAAATTTTCAACCATATCATTCACTACATCTATCGGTAAACATTCATCTATATCAGCAACCATAACATCAACAGAGTTACCCATAAAATGCATTTTCAACACCCATTCACCCATTCTGCAGATAAAAAAAAAACACAAAACCAATGTATAATCATTAACCAACATATCCAAATACACAATTGACCCAAACCCTATTTTATTTAATCAACACTTACCAACTGTATGTAAAATTAATTGCTACATCAACAATAATTTAACCCTAGAATCAATTGCTACATCAACAATCACAATTACGCCCAAATATATGTAAAACAACAAAGAATAGCTTTAAATTTCAGAAATTTATGTGAAATTACCTGTCTTAGAGTCCGAAATTTTCGACCTTAGGTATAATTCAATTGCCCAGCCACCACGACTCCACCTCGCAACCAAAACGCAAGCACAAAGACGAGTTTCGATCCGCGAAATTCAACAACGAAAGCTGTGTTTATAAATGAAGATCGATCATCGCATTCTTTGTTTGATTTCAATCGCAAATTCTGGGCACTACTTTTTAAGGGTTTTGATTTTCTTTTGAGTGTTTATGAAACAGAGTAGAAGAGGAGTTTGATCAGTGTGTGTAAGGGAACAAGAAGGATTTTTTTTTTTATTTTAATCGTTTTTTTTAAAGGGAATTCAATCGTTTTTTTTTCTTTTTATTTTCTATTTTAACTAGCAACGACAACTAACAGAGATTAACGTCGATTAATTACTGATGATAATATAGGGTATTGTTAATTAAAAATAGTAAGGTGGAGGGCATAGCTTAGACGTTTTAAAAACCGTGGGTACAACTTAGAAACCGAAGAACTTTAGGGGCATAGCTTAGAAAAACCCAAAAAAAAAAAGGTTTTCTCTAGAATTTTTCCTTGAGCGGGTTTTTCTAGTTCCCCATATGAATTCTCCTTTGAGAGGGTTGTTCTCCAATTTTCGATTTATTTAGTCTTTTTTAAAGATTTTTCTTCACTTTTCTCCCTTTTCAAAACCTCCTCTTTCACCTAATTATGATGTTTGTTCTTATTTCATTTTTATCCTTTTTAACTATAATTATATACAACACCAGTTAAATATTAGTTCCTACTTTAGAATAATTTATTTCTCACAAATAATACCCTAAACTTACAACTAATATTTAACAGAGCTAGTATGTTATTTGAGTCTGATCAATAGATTAACAATATGTTATTTACATTACAATTTATGTTATTTAAGGTACATAAATAAGTAATGTACTATTGGTTTCAATAATATAAAATATGTTATTAAAGTTTCATTTTTTTTAATATCAATGTTTTACTGGTATATATTTATGTTCTTTGTTTTCACTTTTGTTATAATATGTATTTTTTTCAAAAATATTTTTAATTTTATACATATATATATATATATTTATTACATACACACGTATGTATATATATTTATTACATACACGTATGTAGTGCTGTCAAATTTCAAACTAAAACCGTTTAACGGTCCAAAACCAACCTACCCAAATGAGAACTGAACTGATTTAAAATCGATTTTTTGAAACAAAATATCGACCTAAATCGTATTTTAGTAAACCCGAAACCGAATCAATCCGAATAACGTTAAACCGTATAAAAACTGAACCCGTTAATGAACCGAAGTGATTCTAAACCGATTAGAAAGAAAACCTAACCGGAAAACGAACCGTTTCTAATTCGAAACCGCTTCCAACCTAAAACATATGAAATGGGATAAAAACCGTTTACGCTGAACCGTTAACAAACTGCAACCCGTTTGCACCGAACTGTTTATAAACCAAATTGATTATAAACCGAAATACTTATAAACCAAACCTTTTATTGACTGAACTGCTTATAAATCGAACAGTTTATAAACTGCTTAATATAAAGAGAAGATTAAAATAAAGTTCAAAGATATTTTAAATGAAATCTAATTATCACACATGTTTACTAGAGTAAATTATTGTTTTCCACTATAGATTAAGTGTTAGAAACTTAGAATATTATTTGACTTCCCTTAGCAATAACATTTTGTTTGCTAATCCGTGAGTTTTTTATTATCAAAACAAGGAATATACTGGAGTATACATGAATTAAAAGCTACTAAGTATAAATTAGGCATATAATATGCTAACTGATATGCTACATGTAATGTAGAATATTGACAAACCTAAACAATATATAATAATTTTTGAAGCATATCATATCACTAATATATAAAGCCGGTCTCGCAACCAGGTCATAAGATAGAGGCCTTGACATTTTTTTCAGTGGTGCGCCACGTAGGCGACAAATAGATTTTATTGCGATACATATGATGATAAGTAAGTGATATTTGGATAGAGTTTTGGATAATTAATCATAACTTTTAAAAAATATCCTATAATTCAGTTTTTTTTCTATCATAAAATTCGTTTCAATAATTCTTTAAATTGAGATCCATTATAATAGATTTAGTTTAGTTAAAAAAAATAATAGATAATAAGCAAAATTAACTTTAGTTTGGTAAAATAACTTTCATTCCAGTCAAAATAATTTAGTTCAAAAACAATAATTTTAAGTTAATAATAACATAGATATATGTTTACAACAAAACAACAAAAAGTACACTATTCTATAAAAGCAAACATTTAAAAATGTCGGATGTACAATAAAGTATTGTACATCTGCTAGTTAACTTAAAATTATCAAAAGTTACCCTTAAATGAATAAAATTTAATTACCTGTATATATAAGTAGTTATCTTGATATAGATAAAATTTATTAATGTTGTATTGATAAAAGTTACCCAAAAATGTCTAAAAGTTACCCTAAATTCATCAAAAGTTACCTCGATGTATTATTGTATGTGTTTTGGGTGTTTTTGACCCTCGGGAGAGTTACGGCTCGAAGACTGGTCCGGCTCAAGTTGTACTTGCAAAAACAACGGAAACTTCTGGTGGTTGGAGCTTCGCCTTCAAAGATCAAGTTAGAACTTGAATAAGAGGAAAAAGTGCGGAAATTTAGGTGGGATCTTCTCGAATTCTGAGATCAGGTGTTCTCTGATGAGAGAGAAAATGGATGTAATAAATGATTGAATGTGTCCCCAAAATGGGGAAATATCTCCCTATTTATAGGGTCATTATGAAAAAGTGCCCCTCCTTAGGTCACTCTGACCTAGGTTTGGTGGGCTGCGCCGCAATTACGGCTTTTCTCGCGAATTGGGCCTTAAAGGATGCCACGTGTCAACTGGTGAAAGGTCTATGGTAACCTGTCCTGACTTGACACGTGGACCTCTCTGATTGGTCCCCAGGTCTAGGGTATTTTTACTCTAAACATTTTTCCCTCACAGGGGTGACGTGGCGGGCCACGTGGCGTCTCTGACACGTGTTCCCCCGTGAGTGGTGACGGCTATTCACCTTCTAGGGTGTAACGGGGATGCCCCCGTTTTATCCCTGTATAAATAGTGTTTTACCCCCCTTCTCTCCTCTCATTTACACATCCTTGAAAAGTTTTTTAGAGAGAGAAAGAGAGATTCTAGTGAGAGATACTTTGATCCCGTCTGCATTAGATCTTCAAGTTTTCTTTGTGTGTTCTTGACAACACGGGGTGACCGTCAGTTATAGTTTTCAGATTGTTGAGAGCTAAGGTAAGGTAACCGCCTGTACCCTCTTTTTTCTTTTTTGTTCTTTTCCATTTGTATACATTCTTATTCCGTCTGTATACATAGTCTTTAAAAATAAAAATGGACTCTTCATCCATACACACGACACTTACTAGAACATTCAGTCGGTCTCCTGGTACGGCTGAATCTAGAACAGGGGGTGCCTTTTCTGGACTGTCAGAACTGATTTGCTCATCTCCGAATTCCTCCCCCTCTGTGTCTGTGCTGGACACAATGGAAAAAGTTAAACAAACGCCTATTAAGCCTAGAAGTCGGCACGCTAGGGTAGTGCCCGCAAATGATGTTGTTCTGGATGGGGAACAAGAGGAGTCGGAGGAGCAGTTCCCAGGATAGGGCTCTCCATTGCCCAAGTAACTCAAGTGTAAGGGAGGCAGGCGGCGAAGATGCCACTTCCTCTCATAGGCAAGGAGATGAATCAGGCGGTGAAGAAGCCGCCGAAAGATAAGGAGCAGAGGCATCTGGCTCCAATCAAGATGATTTTGCGGTTGATTACTAGCTTCCGGCTAAAGCATCCACTTTCCCTGACCCCAAAAAGACAAGGATGCTGCCGGGTGACATAGCCTTGCTACATAGCGGCTTTAAAGCCTTCAAAGAGAGACACCCCTTTGGAAAGGGGTGGACAATAGAGCGCCCGCCTGAGGATGAAGTGATGGCTTGGGACGATGGCATAGAAAATGCTGACAATTACTTTGTCTGCTACGAGGCGGTAATTGCAGCCGGCCTCCGCTTCCCTCTTCATAGGGGGATTAGAAAAATTCTTAAGGGGTATGATGTAGGCGTCTGGCAGCTCACCCCAAACTCATGGGTCAATATTCTGAGCTATATCACCGCCTGCGAGTTTCAGAATTTGGAGCCCAGCTTTGCCGCCTTTACTCACATGAATTACATGAGCAAAGCCCAAGGCGGCCATGGGGCGTGGTATACTCTTACCATCCTCCCCCAATACCTAATGACCTTAGATAAAGTGTCTAAATGGACCGGCTGGAAGGAGAAATTTTATTTGATCTCCTCTCCAAGGCTGAGTCACAACCGGACCCTATGCCGGTACAATAAAGAATCGACTCTTCTAGGCAGGAAGTGTGCTCTCCCTCGTATCTCTTATAAACCTTACGAGCAAATAATGGAGCCGGGATTCTTCAAGACTACAATAAAGCCCTTGGGGGATAGGACTCAGATGATTATGCCAAACAATTGGATCCCCCATCTGGATTTTTTCAAGGAAGAGAGATTTATGTCCGTCTGCGAGCTTAGCACGATGTTCACTAAGGGTAGGTAGACCCACTATACATCCGTCAAATTTGTCGTCTTTTCTTATCCACTTCAATTCTTGTAGTTGTTTTGACTAACTCTTTTGTTTGCTTCTTGTAGAAAAAGCACTAAAGATGGTGGACCCACTGAAAACACCGGCTAAGTCTGACATGCAACTGCGCAAGGAGCAGCTGCAAGCCAAAAAGGCAGTCGTCGAGACTAAGGAAGCCAAGAAGGGCGGGGTAAGACTGCCTGACCTGTTGTCTTTATTTTTTTTTATGCTGTAACCTTTTCGCTTTTGCTTTGCAGGGTACTGGCAAAACCATTCCCCGTTCTACTTCAAAGCTAATTAAGATGTCGGGTGAGGAGTATAACAAAACTCTTACCGCTAAGTCTGCAATGAAGAACCCTTCCCAGACAACTTCCTCTGCCAACTCGGATCGTCCAATGACCGGGGGCAAATCTCTCTCTGCTTTGAAGGCTCTGAGTGAAAGCTCAGAGCGTTCTACGAAGAATGCGCCTGATGCCACTATGGCATCGAAGGGTGGCCAGTCACCTAATGTTGTAACCGGTGTGGCATCGATTAGGGAGGGGGAAGCTCCACAACCCCAGACTCAACCCTAGACCCAAGGTAAAAGGATCGAATTGAACTTCCCTGGTCGCATGACTTTATGCGAGTCAAGACTAAGGCCTACCCCTTTGGAGGTTCAGTTAGCAACCAACAACGAATGAATGCTAACTATGCTACAACCCTCTCACCAAGTACTTCTTATGGTGCAAATGTTACCTCCGATGTGCCTGATCTGTCGGGGTTTTCCAAGTGAATGGTGAAGACCCTCACCCGGTCAGAGAAGAGTTATGTGCCTGATCTGCAGGTGGTGGACTTCGATCGGATCATGGGCCAATTGGCGGAGGTAAGTTGATCTAAACTTAACACTATTTTTTCTTTTTTCATTTTGTTAAGTTCTAAACTTTCCGGCTGACCCCCCTTTTAGGTAATGCTGAGAGTGGATGGGTTGTGGGGCCCCTTCAGGCGGATGCAAGAAGAGGTAAATGATGCCAAAAAGAGGGCCACTCAAAATCTGGAATATGCTAACTATATGTGCGAGTTAAAGATTAAAGAAGTAGAGTTGAAACAGGAGGAGCGGACCCAGAACTTGACGACTGCTAATAACGCCGCCAACAACC